GACCACGATAAATGCGGCACTGGATGGTAGCACGACTCAGCATGTTCCTCGAGGATAGAAGCGAGGGTGCGGATCAGAGTCTACAGGTGGAGCATCCAAAATTGCTTGGAGCCTCACGTATACTACCAACTGCACCAGGGCCCATGGCTACTACGTGTGTCTCACGGGTCGGTATTGGAAACAAATACCCGGAAATTCTGGAAGTTAACCTTGCAGGAAATTCGAATGTTAGCGTTGCTAGACCTACCAAATTAAAAAGTAAGAAGCCTGTCGGGTGTTTACACAAGTCGATTCGGTTGATATCCACAAGGAATTCTCATGTTGATCTACAGCAGCTTAATCTTAGTCCAGCCTTTCCGACGGTAACCGGTGATGTAATTGCGTCAAAAACTAGTTGTGCCCTAGGGGAAACAACCACATCAAAAAGGATTAAATGTATGGTATACCAATTGCTGCAATAAGAGAAACATGGGGTAATTGGTGAAGTGCTGTGAGCGTGCTGCTGTGGCTGCTTTGACAGAGACATGACTTTCTCCGAGCGACATGATTAGCGACTTGCTGGTGAATTTTGTGGACCATCGAGCAGATAGGCCTGATCATCAAATTGGTGGAGGAGCACTATTACTTATAAAACGTCGGTATACTCATTTGGAGGCTCCGTTTATCATGAGTAAAGTGAATCTACAGATAGTATCTCATTACTTAAAGATTAGGAGTAGATTGGGGAGCTTCATATGTGTCTACTGCATCACAATAAGGCTGGATCTCATCGTGGTGCGATGGTTTGCGTGCTTCATTAATCCATTGAGCTATGCTGGGTGGTGCTGTTTTGCACCTTCGGAGCCACTACTAGCAGATTGGTCGATCGTTAGAGCTCAGACGAACTCAACCTCCTGGTCCTCCAGATTTGGGGTTGGAATGAACGTGGCTCCTTATTCCTTATAACGGACTTCTTGTAGCCCAACGTCAAACCCGTTGCCTTGCGGTCAGGTTTTTAAACCAAAGGCTTTGATTGAGAACCCTAATCGTTCTCCTGTCTAGGCCTGGGCAACCTGACAGTATCCTGCCCACGCAATACTAGAAACGCTTCTTCAAAAAATCTCTTGATGCTCTGGCCACAGCAAAGGATAATCAACGGTGTCCTATCTGCTGCTCCCGCATTCCCATCTTTTTATTCCCTCTTACGCTTTTTCACTCTTATCGTCTCCTTCTAGCTTCACTTTTATCCACCTTGTTTTCAACCCCCCAATTCTCAGTCCTCCCCAACATGTTTTGATAGGCGATTATCTTTTATTTTCAACGCACAAGCAAACGCGGAGCGTCACTCCTGCCTTGTCGACAAGCCTTACCGCTGGAGAGGCTGTATCCAAAATTGTCGCTCGATTTGGAGCACGAGCGTGGACTCTGACCACGCACTTGTCTGTGCCGACCTCCGGGTGCGTTTCGGTGGACGTCCGCAACGTCGATGTGAACGGATTGACACCAGCCAGTTGGCGAAGCCAGATGTTCTGAATGTATACCATAGTGCGCTGACATCTGGGCTGGGTAAGCGCCCACTAAACACTGTTGAAGATCACTGGTCGCATATTCGTCAAACGTTACTGTCAACTGGCATGTCTTCATGTGGCAAAGCAAATTGCCAAACCGGACATTGGGTCTCTACACAGTCTATGGAACTTATGGATGCTCGCCGACTTATTCCGGCTGGAAGCGAATACAATGAGGCTCGCAAAAATCTCAGGGCAAAACTACGTGCTAGCCTTAGGAACGACCGCGAAACTTGGTGGTCTCATCGTGCTTCTGAGATGGAAACAGCCGCTGCCGTGGGTAATCATCGTAAGTTATTCCGTCTGATACGGGAAACAGGCAGCAGGAGACCTGGTGTTAGCGAGACCATACGCGACGAGAGTGGGCAGCCGATCCACAGCTTGTCAAAACGCTTGGAGCGTTGGGCTGAACACTTTGCAAGGCAATTTAACAAACCTGAGTTATCGCTTTCTTCTTCGGGCATTGAGCGCCCTTCTCCTTGGGCCGTCTCCTCGGATCCGCCCTCACGCGCAGAGGTCGAACGTGAGATCCGGCTGTTGAAATTGCATAAGGCCTCAGGAGCAGATAGAATTTCCCCAGCCCTCTTCAAATTCGGGGGACCTGCTCTAGTAGATGATCTACACGAGTTGCTAGTAGAACTTTGGGAGCAGGAGACAGTCCCGACAGACTGGAACCGCTCCGTCATTGTCCCAATTTTCAAGGGGGGCTCTCGTTTGGAATGCGGCAATCATAGAGGGATCAGTCTGATTTCGATTGCCACTAAATTGCTTGCCTCTGTCATTCTTCACAGTCTGACTGGCACTCGTGAAAGCCAGATTCGTGAAGAGCAGGCCGGATTTCGTCGAGGTCGGGGCTGCATCGACCACATCTTCACATTGCATCAAGTGTTGGAGCACCGCCATGTTTATTGGCGACCCACCGTTGTCGTGTTTCTTGACATAAAAGGTGCCTTCGATTCGGTCGATCGACGTGCCATTTGGGACTGTCTGTTGAGGAAAGGTGTGCCTGATAAATATGTAAACATTATCAAAGTGCTGTACACGCATAGTTCGGGCAGGGTGAGGGTTTATGGCAAACTCTCGCCACCCTTCAGTATCACCAGCGGCGTGAGACAAGGATGCCCGCTGTCACCTTTCCTCTTCAACTTCGCTATTGATGAAGTCATAGAAACAGCGTTCGCTGGACACGACCTAGATGGTGTGGAGCTACTTCCTGGTGAGCGACTTCTTGACTTGGAGTATGCGGACAATGTTGCCCTAATCTGTGACAGCTCCCAAACATGCCAAACAGCACTGGACCGATTAGCACTGGCTGTCAATCGTTTTGGGCTATGCTTTGCTCCATCGAAATGCAAAGTACTTCTCCAAGATTGGCAGGGACCCAACCCTGCGCTAACGCTTGGTGGTGATCTGCTAGAAGTTGTTCAGGAATTCAAGTACCTGGACAGCTATATTAGCACCCGTGGGATTGGAGATGAGGTTACGAACCGCATAGCAAAAGCTCGAGGTGCTTTTGCCAATCTCCGCCACCTGTGGCGCAGACGCGACATTACTCTCGCCCTGAAAAGCAGAGTTTACAACGCAGCCGTCCGTTCTACTCTCTTATATGGTTGTGAAACCTGGCCCATCAGGTCGACTGACATGAAGAGGCTCGTCACATTCGATCATCGCTGCCTTCGCAGCTTAGCTCATGTCTGGTGGGAACATCGCGTGAGCAATGAGCGTGTTCGACGTCGCGTATTTGGTGCAGGAAGAGCGAGTGAACCGCTCAGCACCATTATATCACGCACCAGGCTCCGATGGCTGGGCCACGTGTTGCGCATGCCAGCACACCGACTCCCGCGACGTGCATTGTTTGCACGTTGTGGGTGCGGTTGGAAGAGGAGGAGGGGAGGCCAAGTGATGACTTGGTCGAGAGGGATGAAAACCCTCACTTCGAAGTTGGCGTCGGTTGGTGCGTCCCGACTGCCTGACTGGGGTCCTAAGGACGGTGAACACGTTTGGTTGGACACACTTGCTGATATGGCTCGGAGCCGGCACCAATGGCGTTTGTGTTGTGATTTCCTTTGCCCATCCCCCTCCTGTTTAGTATCCCCCTCCAATCACGATCTCACCTGTTAGGCATGATATGATTCTCTTTTTACGGCAGCCAGCTGTTAGCTCTCCGGAACAATGTCCATCCGTTACTTGGGACTTAGCGGGCGTGCCACTGTTTACCACTGTTTTCCTTTTCTTTTATTTTGTATTGCGGCACAATAGCTGAGGTGTTTTCCACCTCCAGCTAACGTGTAATGATGATGATGATGTCGACAAGCTCATGTCCAACCAAGCGATTACGTTTAGTACACCGGCTTCCATTTGAAGCCCTCGATCCTCCTTCAGATTGGCATGCATCAGTGTACGCACATTGCTACAGACCGGTCAACAGGCAGCATTTGCCCGAACATTAAAGACCCTCTCGATCGATATCTGCTGCTTATCGGAGACCCGCCTGCAAGACTCGAGCTCATTGCTCACTTTGCGATCCCTTCAGATGACACCAGCAGCACTTTCTCATTGCGCCTATCCGGGGACGATGCAGCTTCGCGCACCGGCCAAGCCGGTGTTGTTATTGCCCTGAGTCCCCGGGATGAAGCTGCTCGGGTTGTGTGCGGTCCGACTGGCTGGCTCGTTCAAAGCTTCGAAACCGCACGGGACTAACATGTGTCCATTCGTCATCGCTGCCTATGCACTCACAGGCTTTAGCGATGACTCGGTAAAGGACGATTTCTACCACCAACTGAACGAGCTCCGCCACTGGTCTGTGGATCTGAACGCTCAAGGTGGAAAAATTAGCCACGGATGAACTGCATTTGGGCGGCCAACATGGTGTAGGCTCCCGTAATGATAACGGTGAGCGGTTACTTCATTTTTGTGGAGATGCTCGCTTATTTCTTGCAAGCACTACTTTGCGGCTTCTAGTCTGTGTAGGGGAGCGGCCGGCTCTTCAGTATTCTTATCCCACCTACGACTGGTAGCGCTTGAGCGGCATCGAATTGTCCGTACTGTGTGCCAGCATACTGCTGATGCCAATTTTATTGTAGCAAGCCAACAGATAAGATATCATCGAGCAAAGCCTAGAATGCCACTGTCATTTCCTCTTTGACTTCCAACTTCGTCTCCGGTGTTGGTAGAGCAGTCATCTCCCGTACCTTTTCAAGTTTTCCTTCCAGTCACCTCAGCCCCTGTCCTCCATCGGTAGCTGTGCTATTGCCGTCCAGTTCGCCACGAGGTGTAAGTCAGGCGCACATCCCATCCAGCCACGATTCTTACTAGGTGGTTGTGATGCAATTATCCAGTCGCTTACCGGGTATGTTTTGTGTTTCAGCCCCCTCTGTTTGGTATAACCCACTTACGCTCAGGACACAAAAGCCTTCGAACCCTCCAACGGACACATATTACAGTCAGTTCTCGATGGGCTTATGCAAGTGTGAGCGGAAGAGGGTGACTAATCTGTTTTGTTTCGAGCATCGTGTCAATGTGTGCGAGTTCTGTATGGTTTCCTCTCACGAAAAGGTAAACCACGGCTCATGTAACCATTCGCCTCCAGTGCATCGTAAAATCGTATCTCCGTTGGTTAAAAGATTGTGACTTTAATCCTGCTTGCGGCATTTGCCGGGAACGTTTTGATGAGTCAGACAAAGAGTGTATTCGCTTGATTTGCCTAGGTAAGTGCACTGTGTATGATTTACCTTCACATTTTCAGATGTGTTCCATCGAGAATGCTTGGTCGAATTGTTAGAATCAGCACCTCCTACAACGGCACCTGCTGGATTCGTTTGTCCATGCTGTGGCGAATGTGTTATACCTCAAAGTAACCACGGTGGACCAGTTGCGGAAGCTTTACGGACGCTTTTGGCCGAAGTTCGTTGGTCTAGTGGACAGCATCCAGACCTACTTCCGTCTGCATATTCAGCACGACCTGTATCTTCTACCAACATAAACTCTTGGAGTGAGTATTAACGTTTATTTCATTTTTTCTGTTTACTAAGTGTTAGTGGATGTGGTTGATCTTTTTGGCTAACATTTATACTTCACAGCCACTAGTTTTCTTTCACCAGCTGCAGTTGGTCTTTTAGCGGGAACTCAGATAGAGATTGCAAAAGGCAGATCGAGTTGCAGGGAAATTTTTCTTTGTACAGCAAAAGATTCACTGTTTTTCTAACTATAAAAACGATAACGCTGGATGTTGCTAGCTATTGGAACGAAAGGTTTACGGCATACGAGAGCGATCGCGTCTTGTAACCAAAACGAGCGCCAAGCGAGAGGCAGTGCTCGAATCAAGCAATCAAGCCCAACGACCAGTTAAACGATTAGCAACGGTCACTTAAGTGTACAATGAAATAATAATTTTAGTTAGAATTTTATGCAAGCAAACTGAGGAATTTCCAGACTGCTACATAACCCTCCCCAGAGGACTGTCCGTTGCAGGCCAGCATTCTGTGAGACCAAGCAATGAGACCTAATGCAACTGCTGGAGAAGAACCAGGCGATCGGATTCTGGTGGATTCCCACTCGTGTCCTCACTACGGTGTCGAAACGGGAAAATATGTTTGTGTGAAGACAGTTCGTAATAGTCCTGGCTGCTGAATGAGTAGGGAGTTTGTTTTATTTCGTTGAGGTGTGGGATATCCAGCGAAACGTGAAACCAAGGAGTAACCAGCGAGCGACCATTCGACGGTGTGTATACCTGGAAAGCAAAGTGACAAAGAACAGCGTAAATGCACAGCTATATATACACACAAAAGAATGCAATGAGCAAAGCGTATGAGGCTGTTTTGGATTTTCAGGTTTTATTTTTTGTTTGTTTCAAAACGTTTTATTCTTTTTTGCAAAATGTGTGCAGGAGCATGAAAACGTGGGACATACTCTACTGCAAATACCAAACGCTAACAAAGTCAGAGAAACGAACAGGGAGTTTCGCCTAGCTACCACGGCAACTAGGAGTACAGTCGGTTGAGGCTATAGGTTTCGCTGGAGCGGAGTGACTGGTCTGAGGTTGCGGTACTGGCCGTGATGGCGCGAGCTGAAAGAGTTCTTGTTGCATCCAAGAGTCAGAGTTATCGAGAAATGCTGACGTCTTCGTTTTTCCATTATAATCAATGCTTAACGTCTGATCGGTTCTGCGTACGACGCGGTACGGACAAGAATAAGAATGTTGAAGAAACAGCAGTGCGAACGAACATGTGAGTGCAAGTAGTAATGCGTTGGTCCACCTTGGTGCGCAAGCTCGGCACTGTGGATTGCACAGACTGAAACTGTCGCATGTGATGAGATAGGCGAGCTGCTTATTTGCGTTTGTCGAAGGTTGTTGGTGCTTTTGGTGAGACAAGTTTACTAGGTGAGCGCTGAGTGCATCCAAAGACTAGCGAAGAAGGCGTGACATGAAAATCCGCTTCAGTCGTTTTTCTTACGTCTACGAAAACCAGTGAAAGTGCTTCGTGACCACATGTGCTGGAATAGACACAAAGTAATGCTTTGAGTTGCCGCTGGAACCTTTCTGCCATACCGTTAGATGCAACTTGGTATCTGGTGGTTAGGTTCTGCCAAGCTCGTTGAGAAATTTACTGAAGTATCCGTCGACATGTGGTCTTCGGTTGGTGATGACTACAGTAGAGCAGCCGAATTGAGTTACCCACTGTTCTAGGAAAGCATGTGCAAATGTCTCACATGAACAGTCGACTATCGGAATCGCTTTTGACCAGAGTGTAAATCTGTCGACACAGTTGAGAAGATACATGAAGCCTTTGCATGGTTGCAATGGTCCGACCAGCTCGACGTGGACTTGTGCGTAATGCCAGTCAGGAGCCGGAAAGGCATGGAGTAGGCTTTTGTTGTGTCCGTACACCCTGGCTCGCTGACACTCTAGGCATGCGCGAACCAAAAGGTGGACTTCGCGGTTGTTATGCCAAACGGAACGTTCGGTTACGAGCTTTTGGGAAGCACGTATGCTGGGATGAGACAGGTTGTGTAGAGCGTTAAAAACTAGTCGGCACATTGTCGTAGGAACTACGGGGCGGGAAAACGTTTATGAGACGTCGTTAAGAATATTGCCCTCAGATGAAGCTAGTGGAACTTTGCGTAGTTTCAAAGGTGTGATGCGTTGAAGCACGTTTACGTCGGGATCAGCTTGTTGGACTGCAGCCATGGTGGTTAGATCGATGTTGGTTCCAGGTGCTAGGCTGATCTGATTGATGCGTGAAAGAGTGTCCGCGACGGGATTAAGAGCACCTGAGACATGTCGTAGTCTGTCGTAAATTGAAAGACGTAGTCTAGGTGCCTGGTTTCCCTCGAGAGTACCTGTCGGTTGCGCCATTGATTGCATAGATCAATAGCTTTTGGTCGGTGAAAACTGGGAAATGTCGACCTTAGAGATAGTGACGGAAGTGCCGAAAACCTAAGTAGATTGCTACTAGTTCCCTACCGAAGGCGCGGTAACATGATTAGGCCGGTTGTAAACATTTCGAAAACAAAACTACAGGTATCTATCGATGACCGATGAGTTGTTGAAGAGCTGCACCGACGGCGGTGTCTGATGCGCCAGTCGTAAGAGAAAGAACTGTTTTTGGGCTTGTGTGCGCGAGAAGCACAATGTTAGAGATAGCATCTTTGAGCTTTCGAAAGCCAGTTTAGCGTCGTCTGGAAAATGAAAGGTGTGTTGTTGACCGCAGAGCAAGCTTGTCATTGGTTGCACAATACTCGTACAGTTAGGTATAAAGCGTTGTTAGTAGTTGACTAGGCTAAGAAATCGGGGAATCTATTCGAAGGAGCTAGGAGCAGCGTAGTACTTCAGTGCATGGATTTTGTCTTGTAGAGCTTCAACACCAGCGTAGGATATCATGTGGCCAGGAAAGTCGATGAGGCTTTGGCCATGCTGCATCACTCTTGTAAAAAGTGTCCAGATGTCGAAAATGCTCATCAGAAGAGTTGGCAATGCGAATGTCATCCAAGTATGGAGAGATACCTTCGAGTCGTCGTGTTATTTCATGAATTAAACGCTGAAAACTTTGAGCAACATTGCTGAGATCAAACACTATTCTTATTTACTCGAGTGGACCAAACAGTGTAATGACCGTTGTTTTATAAGTGTTATCCGGCGCCCATGGTATTTGATGATGAGCACGCACTAGGTGTATTTTGCTAAAGACTGACTTACTAGTCAGAGCTACAGTCAAGACGTGCATATGCGTAGTCGAGTACTTATCCAGGACGTAACTTTGTTGAGTGTTCTGTAGCCACCACAGGGACGCCAGTCACCGTTTTTTTGTACCATGTCTAGTGGTGATGCCCATGGATTCTCAGACTGGCGGATCTCCAGGGCAGATATGGTGTATGACGTTTGAGGTCACGGGAACTTGGTCGTTCTGAGTGCGAACGAGATTAGGATGCTGGTTGTAAAAGTCTGTGAAAAGCTGTGAAGCTTGAGGCGCGATACGGATGGGAGTGATCGCAGCTACTTTGGCGCTAGTCTCAGTAACACTTGGTTGTGTCCGGGAGTCGATAACCTTTTGTCTTTTAGCTTCGGCAATAAGGCCGGAGCGTTGAAGTAAGTCTATACCTATGATAGCGAAAGAGACGGGTGCTACTATGAGATCCCAGCGAAAGTTTCGTCGGAGACCTAGGTTGAGCTTTAGCAGCTTGTCCCCATTGGCGGCACATAGTCTAGTCGGTGGGGGGTGAGTTTACCTCTTCTGAGCCGTGGGGTATGACGCTTACTTCGACTCCGGTATCCACTCAGAACTTGGAACCAGAAATTACATCCCTAACGCGGATGAGACGACTTTGGTTTTTGGCCGGTCACATCTATCTCCATTACGCGCCAGCCGAAGAGTTTCCCTGCTTCTTAGCGAGCTTGCAAGTCTTAACGCACTTACGGGTTGAGTTGCCAACACGCCGATAATACCAAAAGTAAGCTTGCCTGTCGTCGGAGTTGGAGCGTATTGTGGGTGGTCTGGGTCGGCTGTGACAGTGACGGCTCGTGGTGAGCTGTTCGACTTGGTGACTAAGTGTCGCGACTTATGGTTACTGGGCTTCTATAATTGAGTGTAACACAATAATAAAAGCGCCCTGGGACGCGACTGCATTGATCTTGCTTGCGTCGACTTGTGACTGGGATCATTCAATCCTTCAGTCAGCCCTATTGGTTAGCTTATTGAGTGATATGAAACTAGTGATATCGAGAATCACGTGTATTTTTAAGTAGCTGCTGTAACTAAAGTTCGCAGGATTACGCCTCGTCCGTGGCTGATGAATCAAGCAGTTGCTGCATCTCACGTATCAGGATTGTGGGTAGTTTGTCGCCCAACCGCAGATCCCTGAATAGCTGCTGCAGGCGGACTTTCTCACACGGCATAACCCGCTTGAGAGATCAGCGATTTTCTGTCTGAGAAATGATGACGTCTCGGACCTGCATGTGTATCTCATTTGGGAGGTATGAGATTACTGTTTAGCATAGTTGGAAGTAATTCTGTGGTTATGAAACTCAGCCTCTAGATGGGCAAACCACTAAAGGGGATCCATGTCGCAAAAAGTGGGTCATAGAGAAACAGCACTGTAAGAAACAAAACTTTATGGTCTAGCGAATCCTTGCTATAAAAGTGAGCACCGAAATGCAACCGTAGGTATAAAAATAGCTGGAAAATATTTAAAAAATAGGTGGAACGGGTCACCGGAGGAAACTTCGAAATATTCAGCGTCGAGGCTCTTCCCAAGCCGGGATTCCTCATTAACGGGAGCTCTGATAGCGATTACAAAAGGCACTTCGAGTTGCAGGGAGGCTTTTTATTTGTACTGCAAAAGATTCCCTGTTCAATTAACTATAAAAAGACGATGCGTTGGATGCTGCTAGACAGGGCAACAAGAAGTACACGGCACACGAGAGCGATGGCGCGTTGCCATCGAAAAGAGCCCCAATGGAAGGGCAGTGCTTGACTCAACAACCAGTTGATCATCAACGGTCACCT